GATATTATTTTATATACTGCATGGAATCATTATAATACTTTGTATTTTAATCTTAATGCAAATGAATATTTTAATCTTAATTAAATTATAAAATAAATTCTTGGATTAAATATAATATGAACATTTTAATGTAATGTAAAATTTGTTATTTGATATTATTTTCCAAATTATAATATTTAATCAATAATATTGCATTAGAAAGATCATAATAAAAAAATTTATTCTTTGGAAAGCGATATCGAATTAAAAACTAACTTAAACTCATCGTTTTATATTTCAATTTTTTCTAATTAATTATATTTTATATTTTATATATATTATTATATATATTTTATTATATTTTATATATAACTTTCTTTTTATATTACAGTCTCTTCAAATTTAATTAATTTTTATCTTATATCTTCCTTTATTGTGTTTCGTTGAATTATTTTTAATTAATTTTTATGCCAAATTAATTTTAATAATTAATTTTTATTGCATATTTAAAAAACAATCTTTTTGTAGATCAGTTATATTAAAATCTGTAATTAAATATGTGTATTATATAATACTTCAATTTTCGCGCGGTTTAAGTAAATAAGGAATCGTGTCGCTCCAGCCAATTAGAAACGTCCTGGGCGAATTTGTAACACGTATTTAGGCAAGTAGTGTCATTCGTCTATAGAAAATCATCGTGGTCGGATGATTCTCCAGTTTGGAACATACAATAATAGTAAGTAATTTCATTCTATTATTCTATTACTGTATTTATAAAATAATTTATTTATTCAAGAAAGTATTAAATATTATGATAACAAAATTTAAATAATCTTTGGATTTCTTTCTACTTTTTCGATTGTTTATCTGATTGTTGAGGTTACCGATAGCTTTTATTATATTATGTTTTTCAGCTAGGATTTCAATTTAATTATTGCTTTATTTTAATATATTACAATCTTATACATTTTTTATGGTTTGTGATTTTTATTTTTAAAAAAGTCTAAATTGTTTGATTGGGATTCTTCAGAAATTTCGAAGGAATATATGGTGATTTATAATCGATAATTCTTCTGATATTCAGGTAATATTTTATTCTTTTTTAAAAATAGACATATTTAAAATAGGTTTTTATTCATATTGAAACAAATATAGGAGATATATATATTTATTAAAATCAATTTTATATTATTAAATTAAATTATTTTAATAATACACTTTTTCTTTTTTAAATGTGTATGTGAACGTTTATTCGTACTATTTATATATTTATATTTCTTTTTCGCTAATACTGTAGGTTATAAACATTTCTTATAATATAGAGTTTTTATGAATTAGAGGTCATAGCATGCTCGATATATTTTTACCAAATTACAAAGCATATTCCTTTGCTAACTCGTGATTCGATAATCGAAATTGGCATATCGCCATTGTAATATCGATATTTATGGTGATTAAAAATGTCATTTTTCTTAAAATATATAATTTATTTGTTATGTAGTATATATTTATATATATATATTTATTTCTAAAAGATTAGAGATTAAAAATATTTCTTATAATATATTTTTTTTTACGAAATTAGGCATTCGCATGTATCGAAACTCGATATTTCGATTATTGTCAAATTATCGATCTCTCCTAATTCAATTCGATAATCGAAATCGCAATGTGGCGTCATTTTAGTTTCGGTGATTGAAGTGTATAGACGTATCATTTTTTCTTGAAACTTGTGATTTTTTTAAGATTTTGTGCTGTGTAGTTTTATTTTATAGTTATTGTTTGTGATTTATATATTACTAATTTATAATTACGTATTTCTTATTATAAATGAATAATCCTTTGGCGAATAAATTATTCTTTTTTTCATCCATATATTATTTGAAGGTACAGGTTACAGTTAGCTCATTATTCATATTATAACTTTCTAAAATGAAATTTGTGCTTGATTATTGTTTTATTTTAATATAATCGGTTAATATTTTTATAATTTATATGCGTACTTCAAAATTTTGATTTTTTTTGTGCAGATATTGTTATATGCAGTTAATTGTTAAAATGGCGAAATGGCGGGAAGAATTTCAATAATATATATATATATAAATTTCAAATTTCAATGGATGCCAATGAAATTAAAATGGCTTCGATGAACGGTAAAATTTCTCATTTTAATATATTAATAAATTATATTTATAAAGCTAATTATATTTCTACTCAAATTTGAAATTTAATAGACTTCATTAATTTTTTTCATTATTTCAAAAATTCTTAATAATTATTATCCTATTTAAAATAAATTATAATGTAATATTTTATTTTTTTATTGAAGGTACTGACAACTTTTATGAAGATTTTTTCTGTGTTTGGTTTCGAAAATTGTTTGTAACCGCGTGCAATGCGGTTGATAGAATTAGTATTTATTGTAATAGTATTCTTAATATTTGTTTGAACATAATGGTTCTAATTAAATTTAATAATCATACGCGAAATTAGAATCAGTGTTAGTTCGCCAATTATAACATAAACGGATATATCAAGTCTTTTATATCTAGTCTTTTATTTTTTTTTCTTTGTATATATTTGTTTTCGGAATTAGAATCAGTGTAAGAGTCAGTTAAAAACATAAAACAAGCATTCATTATGTAAAAAAGGTATTTATTTTTTATTTTATTTAATTTTTTATTTTGTTATTTCTGAATAAAATTATTAGATTTGCAATTTCTAAATTTTAAGTCTTTATATTAATATTTAAGAATCTATTTCTATTATTTCTATTATTATTAAAATTTATTAAAATTTATTATTTTATTATTATATATATACTTTATTATTTATATTATTTTAATAAATAATAATTTTCTTTTTTTTATATGTAAAGTTTTTTTGAATAATCAATATTATATTTTAAATTATGATATTCACTTTTTGTTACAGATATTTCTCAATTTTTCTTCAGTTTTTATGATCTCATTTGATGAAATCTACTTCTTGTAGGCTACGATAGACTATTGACAACGTAATGGTGAGTCGCATGCATTATTGTTCCTCCAATCACTCAATCATGTCGTAGGATAAAAGATCCGAATCGACACGGGTGATTGGTTGTATACGTAGAATTTTGCAGGAGCATAGTGATCATGGGTATATATATATATTTGTTATACCCATGAGTAGTAACATTTACTTTTTTATTTATTAAATCAGGCTAGGTCTTCTTGCACATTGCATATTTTTAAATATATTATTAATATTAAAGTTTTTTTTCATTTTTTCATCTTTTGCTTTATAATAATTTGACTATCTTTTAAAATTGAATAATTTAATTATTCGATTCTTATCATAGACTTTAAGTTTAATTATTTAAATTCCTTTTGTTTAAAAACATAATAAAATCTTATGTGTAAGAAGACATTTCGCGACAGGTAGATTTCGAAATCAAAGCAACAAGTTTTGAATACTGTTTACATTTTTTCAATGATATGCTTTGGTGAAGGAATCGCCTGAGGTATAATATTCTATCAATATTTATATTTCAATACATTGAATCTTAACTTTTTAAATTCATTACAAATTTCTTTTATATTTTTAATAATTTATTAAATTCAATAAAGTATTACAGAATCTTTGTATTTATACCAATAATTCTTTAAATTAATAAAATAGAATATAAAGTAGAGTCAAAAATAATTTGAGACAAGAATATATGAAATTAAAGAACATTAGCCCGTTAGATAAATGCGCTAATATCTTTTTTAGATTAGGATTTTCAGATTTAATCCTTTCCATGTTCATAGCCAGGATCTCATTCACGTGCCCAGGTGTTACTTGAGTGAGAGAGAGGCAATGGGCATGATGGCTATAGTTTATAAGCTTATAATTATTTCTCAGCGACTGACAATGCGTTAGTGTACCGTGCACGACGTATTTTCCACATTATGTATGTGTGGTTAGGCTGTGGAATTGCGTCGTTTCAATTATTATTTAATTATCAATCGAATTTCCATTTATAATAACAATTTTAAGATATTAAATGCGGATAATATATATATTTATTGATCTCAGTATTACATTGCTATAATATCACAAATTATTACATTATAAATTATAACAGTGCGAAAATTTCAATTATTCTTGTAAATTTTTTTTCTTTATTTGTAAATAATTTTTTTTTTAGCAGATATAATTATTTTTTCCGAATATAAATATTTCCAATTAAAATTGAGATAGACATGACGTGTTTTTATTATAATTTACGCAATGGACACTAGCCATTGTCAGTCGATTTCAGGAAAATGGTACGTAAAGTTAGAGTATGAAAGTAGCGTGTCAAGCTCGGGTGTCGAAGGTGTCCCGGGACATTCTTCCTAGTGTAGGCTTTTGCGCCCGGGTGTTATGTGAGAGAACCGTGGAGAGAGTGTGTTGGTGTGCCTGTTTTGCCATTTTTTTAAATATAGAGTTAGGTAGGATAGGTAGCATAATTTCTGGTATGTGTGTGTATTAGTGATAAGTAGGTAGGGCCGGGGTATTTTTTTTCTTTTTTATTATTATTTATTATTAGGGAATCTCGAACCTAGTTTTAAGTTTCAGCGGGCATTGCGCCCGAAGAAAGAAGAGGCTATAAGCCGAAGAGGCCCGGCAAATTGCCATAGAAGAGG